GAGACTAGAAGAAAGAGTAAAGGAACAAGTGCATTATACTGTATAACACTTTGTACCATATTCATATGTTACCAGCTGTAAAAATAATTAAAACTTCTAAAAAACTAAACAGGAGATTGTGCAGATGATAGATAAGATTGGTGAGAAGCACAGCATATAAGGAAGAAAAGAAGGAGACTATTTTATCTTTTCAGTGGGCCATAGAAAGAACTCAAGCAAAAGGAGTCCAGAGGGATTTGCAGAGGGATTTGCTATGAAAAACAAGCAAAGGGCTCATTCATTACAGTGTTTTTGCTCCCATCCATGGCCTGCCAGCACTAGATATGTGACTTTACAGCTGACTCTAGAGGAAGCTAAATTTCCCTTACCCCTTTCTCATCTACTCCAACTGCTTTTTATTTTTTAACAGATTTATTGAGGCAGAATTTATATACCATAAAATTCTCCCGTTTTAAGTGTACAATTGAATGATTTTGAGTAAATTTATAGTTGTGATCATCACTGCAATTCAGTTTTACAACATCTTCATTACCCCAAAAGATTCCTCATCTTAGTTTGCAGTCAGTTCCCATTTCTGCCCTAGCCCCAGACAACCATAAATCTTTCTCTGTAGATTTTCCTTGCCAGACATTATATATAAATGCAATCATATGATAATATCGTCTTTTGTGTCTGATTTTCTTTTTTACTTGTAGCATATGTTGTTGCTTACTAATACTTATGTTGAGAGTATATTACTGTTTATTGCTGAATAGTAAATATTCCCTTGTATGGATATACTACATTTTGTTTACTCATTCCCCAGTGGATGAGCATTTGAATTGTTTCCAATTTTTGGTGGTTATAATACTACAATGAAATTTGCACACAAGTCTTTATGTAGACCTGTGTTTTCATTCCTTTTGAGATTCCTGCCAAACTGCTTTTCCATAGTGCGGGTAGCACAATAAGAATGAAAGCATACATTTCCACAGCAGTATATGAGAGTTCCATTTTCTCCACATCTTCACCATTTGTTATTGTCTTTTTTATTACATTTACTCTAACAGTTGTGTAGTGGTATCTCATTATTTTAGTTTGCTTTTTTCCTAATGACTGATAATCCTGAGCATCATTCATATAGTTAGCCATTCATGTATCTTGTTGGTAGTGTTGACTGAAATATCTTTTTAATTTTTAAAAATCCTTTACCAGATAATGTGATTTTTAATATTTTGTCCATCTCTGATTTGTCTGTTTTCTCAGTTTCCTTAAGCACTAAATGCCGCAGACTTGCACAGCAGTGAACGATGAGGCCGTCTCAGGGTTGAGAGACTGTGCAGGGTGGTCAGGGATTCGGTTAAAGAAATGACAAACAGACACACTTCAAGAGTGAAAATCTGAGTGTAATTTTATTTAAGTTGGTGACCAGTATATATATGTTTTCTAAAGGCATAGGATCGGTTATCAGTGAACTAAACCAGTTGGCTCATAGGTTTACTTATCAATGACAAGGCAGTGATTTATGTCCAGAGTTACATTTGGATCTAGGCACATTCCTAAGCAGTCAGACCATTAGTTTTGTCTTTTGTTTTATATAATTACATTTTCTCTTAGCTAACCACTAAATTCATTAATTATTATTAATTATAACAAGTGCACTTATTTTTATGTAATAACACTTTTTCATTAAGGATCAAAGCTAAGGAATTTTAACATATAACAGAGCAATTATTGAACTAACAATTTTGTTGTTACACAAGGTTTAGTGGTGTTTCATTTGAGTCATCCTTGTTACTAGATTTCATGTTTCTTTAATTTAGCAATCAATGACCTTTATAGACAGAGAAAGAGAAAAGATTTTAGAAAGAGAAAAGATTTTAGAGAGACAGTTGTATTAGAATAAAGTTTGTGGGCCTTGAGAAGGCGAGATAAGTTTCCATGTGGACAGCATTCCTGTAGTGGCTCCTGGTGGTCGTTATCTTTCAACAGGCTTCCGCCTTATCTATGTCTTCAGGCGTTTTGCTGTTCTCCCCCTGCGGACCTAGGGATTCCTAGAGGTCACTGCAGGGGGAGGTGTAGCAGGTATGTCTTCAGGGGGTTTTGCTGTTCTCCCCCTGCGTGCTGGTTGCCCAGCGGGACCTAGGGGCGTGGCACAAGCCATTAGCCCTAAGGGTCACTGCAGGGGGAGGTGCAGCAACTAAAGTTTTCAATTTTGCTAAGGTTTCATTTATCAGTATTTTTCTTTTATAAATTGTGCATTTTGTGTTTTTACCTAAGAGTCTGTTGCCTCACCCAAGGTAATGGGTGTTTTTCCCCTCAACATTTTATCGTTTGCTTTTCAATTTGAAAGACAGTTCTGTTTCCTTGTTTAACAAATTCCTAATATTAAATTCATTTTTAAGAACATGAAATGATTCTACTGTCCACAAAGAATTATTAATTTTATCTTCATTTTTAGTTATCTAGAACCTAGTTTTATATAAGCTCATCTTTCCAAAGGTACAGTAGATAACCAGTTTGTTGCACAGTTGGTTACAGAATAAAATGACTCCTCTTTTTCCAATCTCTCCATCTATGTCAATTCCACGCCTAAGAGAAGAATAGTTCCTTTTGACTCCTGTGGTGTAGGTCAAGTCACCTGTAAACAGGTTGTGCATAAGCTCCAGCTTCTAGTCTGAACGACTCAACTTGCAATAAGTATGTCCTTCCTTTCATTTTCCATTTTACCAGCACAACCTCATGTTAAATCTTCTTCTAGCTTTATTCTAATTATAACCTTCTGGATTTTTTAACAAGGTAGTTACCAAGAAATAAGAATATTGTGGCTGACTTCTTTAAATAAGGTCTATCTAAATTAGAAAGCTCTATAATAGCAGGGCTCAAATCCAGTACAGTTTTATTTACCTCATTGTTCCTGGCATAGCGCTGAGTGGTTTAGTAAATGTTCAATAAATATTTTTATTATGTCTCTGTAGTAGAAGCAAAGTGTTCATAGTTTGATTTAATAATGACATAATATGACTTGTATTTCACTATTTTTCTCAATGATCGAATGACTAGACCCATTCAAATCCTTTTCTCTCTGTGTGCTTAAATAATTTCCAGCATAAGCACGCTAGTCTTGAACTGTAGCATTTGATGTTTCATGATAATTTAACAAATATGGATATTGTTTATCAGGAAAGGAAGCTTTTCCTCTGCCATGCCTTTCTGTTTTATGAAATTTACATTAACATTTTAGTCTTTTAAAACCCTTTGAATAACTCAGATCTGTACTTCCCTTTGCCTATTGAAATCCAGACCTTAAAAACAATGTAAATAACCTTTCACATTTTTTTAATTTGATTTAAAAATATATAACATAAATTTATCATCTTATCATTTTTTATTGTTCAGCGGCATTGTTGTATTCACAGTGTTGTACAGTCATCACCTCCTTCCTTCTCCAGAACTTTTTTCATCTTCCAAAAATGAAACTCTGTATCCGTTAAACAATAATTTCCCATTCTCCCCTTCTTTCTGCACCATCATTCTACTTTCTGTCTCTGAATTTATTCTAGGTACTTCATATAAATACTGTATTTGTCCTTTTGTGACTTGCTTATTTCACTTGGCATAAGGTTTAGTCATGTTGTATTTCGTGTCAGTAATTCTTTCTTTTTAAAGGCTTGATAATAGTCCATTATATATATGCCTCATTTTGTTATCTTTTCATCTGTCAATGAATACTTGAGTTGTTTACAGCTTTGCATGTTCTCTGATGGAAGGCAAGGGAAGATGATATTAGTGTATCTATCTACAAGCAGGTGATATTGTAGAACCTGTTCTTCTGGCCCAGTGGGATTGTCCTCTTAAGGTTGATTCTACCCTAGTGCTTACATTAGAAAGCATACTAGAGCATCTTTATAAGGAATGAGTGTCACTTCTGGATGCTCTAAGGCAAGGTCAAGAGGATAACCTCAAGTTAAGGGAAAGTTATTTAATATAGGACTTCCAGTTCACTGCCTATAATTACAGAATTTGTTACATAGTAGTTATCAATGAATGCTTATAGATGCACTGTTCTACATAATTGCCAAAAACTGGAAACAACCCAAGTAGAAGGAATAATTAAATTGTGTTATATTCACACAATGGATATATATATATAACAATAAAAATGAATTAAGACATACATAAAAATGTGAACAAATCTTAGAAAGACACTACATATAATAGAATGCATGTTTATATTTATGAAGTTCAAAAGCAGACATAATTAAGTTACTGTTTGTGTTTAAAGATATATAAGTAGAAAGTAATGCTATTTTTTTGAAAGCAAGGAAATGAATCCCCTCAAATTTAAAGGAGTGATTACTACTGGGGGGAAGAAGAGATAGTGATTGGAAAGGACCATGTTGCCAAAGGAAGGGAGGCTTCTGGGATGCTGATGATAGTCTATTTCATGACCTAATTAAAGGGCCTTGTTAGAAATATTTTTGTTAAAGATATCTAGCCGTCAGGCCTCCCCAGTGGCGCAGCAGGTTGAGCACAGCGCTGTGAAGCTGTCTGCAGCCTTTGCAGCATGGGTTCGATTCCTGGCTGGTCAGGGAGATTCCCACATGGCGCAGCACACCTCTCCTGTCTTGCCTGCTGCTCCCCTCAGCAGAGCTTTTAGTCTGTCTGCCCATTCTGCTCCCTGCTCTGTCTCTGGTGAATCCTCTCACCCTCCTGCACCTCTGGCCTATACCCCAGCTATTGTATAAATAAAAAATAAATCTTTAAAAAAAAAAAAAAGATATCTAGCCATCACTGTCAAATTTTACATGTGAGGGGAAACATTTAGCCAACTTGCCTTTCTTAGGGTAACCCTGTTATGTATAAATTTGATGTTCCTTAACTAATTGATTCAGTCTCTGTTCTAGACAAAGCATAAATAATATCTCATTTATATGCATAAATAACTGCCTGGTTTTCTGCATTTTGTGCTGCTTTTTATTACAGGTTCCTACTTTACCTTGCTGTTGCTCTTCTTTTAGGGTCTGACCTTTCAGGAGGTGGAGAACTTCTTTACTTTCCTAAAGAATATTAATGATGTGGACACTGCATTGAGCTTCTACCATATGGCTGGGGCATCTCTTGATAAAGGTAATGAAACCCCAAAATTTTTTTCTTGAAGGTGTAAACATTGAATCTGTAAACTATTGAGTATCTACATCTCCTTAACAGTATGTGAGTTTTTCGTGACATTGTTTTTTGATTTATTTTGCTCTGTTGACATTTTATGAGCTTTCATATTTCACCCTGGGAGGCCAAGCTCAGCAGATGTATTTTCTTGTGATAAAGCTTCAGAACAACTCGCTCCTAATGATTTATCCATGAGAAATGAAAATACATGTCCTTAAAGACTAACACAAGAATCTTCATAGCAGCTTTATTCACGATAACCAATAAGTGGAAACAGCTAGTATCCAACAGAAAAATGTATAAATTGTGGAGTATTACTACAATAGATTCCTGCTCAAAAAAAGGAATACATGCAACAAATGAATGGTTTCAAAAAAGCTGAGAGAAACTTTGAAAGGCATGTACACTGTATAATTCCATTCTAGAACAAATAAAATTATGGTGAAAAAATACCAGAATTAAGGTTGCCTCTTGAGGGTGAGTAGGCAGAAACTGACTGTGAAGGGACTGAGAGAAGAAAACAGATACTGAACTTTAGAATAGAGTCTTGCTAAAAGTATTTAGGGCATAGTGCACTTATGTATGCAACTTATGTATATTCATCATGTCAGTATGACTTGCTCACAGCAAAAGTGGTATACCAATGGAAGCAGTTGGCTCAGGTGATTATTCTGAACCTTCCATGCCAAATAATTGCTGAATATGCACCTGTGCTGGATTGTCACACCACTCATATTGCTTACAAGTTTGCTAAGCTGAAGGAGATGGATCATTCCAGGAAAAAAATTAGAATAATGGCCCCAATTCCTTGAAATATGGTAATGCTACCATAATTGATATGATTCCTGGCAAGCCCATGTGTGTTAAGAACTTCTCTGACCACCCTTTTCTGGATTGTTTTGCTGTTCATGATATGAGATAGTCGCTTGCTATGGAAGTTATCAAAGCAGAGGATAAAGAAGGCAGCTGGAGCTGGCAGGGTCGCCAAGTCTGCCCGGGAAGCTCAGAGGCTGAATGAATGTTACCCTCAATACCTGACATCCCAGTTTTAAAAATGGTGGAAGAACAGTCTCAGAACTCTTAGTCTCAATTGATCCTTTAAGTTTAATAGTAAAAGACTAGATAATGATAGTACTGCATCATCAAACCTTTAGAAAGAAAGGAGAATGTTTTGTGAGCCATTTGTTTTTTCGTATGTGTGGCAGTTTTAAGTTATTAATTTTTAAAATCAGTACTTTTTAGTGGAAACAATGACCAGAAATTTGTCACATTTTGAGATTCATTAAAATAAAGTTTAATGAGAAAAAAGAAATACCTCCTCTAACCTTTATAGAATCCTTTGAAAAAAATTGATGATACCATGGAGATGATATATATGTGTGTGTAGCACCACAAGGTCATTTCTCCAGAACACTTTGATTATATCACTCTGTTCCTCAAACAAGATTTGATGGCATCTGTGGATCCAAAGATCAAATATTTGAAGTCATTATTTAGTAAAATTAATAAACTCTTTTTTTATACTATCATACCTTTTCTTTTTTGAAAAGTCCAGCTAAAGATATTAGCATTTCCTTAAAGAATAATTATATAGGATGACTCAACTATCTGTGTTAAAATTATAGGGTTTAAGAAATAGAATGTTTCAGGGTAGTAGTAGCAAAGTGCAACCTAGCTGTTAAAAAGATACAGTTTCGGACCTCCCCGGTGGCGCAGCAGTTGAGCGCTGGGTTGCGAAGCTGCCCGCGGCCTCTACGGCGCCGGTTCGATCCCTGGCTGCTCCCCGGCCACCGGAGGAGGATCCCACATGGCGCGCAGACCTCTCCTGCCGCCCGCTGCTCCCCTCAGCAGTGTACTTCGGTCCTTCTGCCTGCTCTGCTCCCTGCTCTGGCTCTGGTGAATTCTCTCACCCTCCCGCGCTTCTGACTGTACCCAGTGCATGTATAAACAAACCAAACAAACAAATAAAATAAATAAATAAAACATGCCTCTATTTAAAAAAAAAAAAAAAAGATACAGTTTCTTCTATATAGCTTCAGGCTATTTTCCGGGATGTTTACTGTCCATATCGTCCATGCCTCATTATCCTTGCTAATAGAGGCAGTGGCACAAATTATATAGTCATAGCTGATATCAAAAAATGTGTTTGGCTTTGAGATATATGCTATTTGGCATTTGTTTTGACTTTTTTGAATGTTGTTTATCTGTGTAACTTTGGATTCCCTGAGTGTAAATGATAGACATGTAGAGGAAACTAGCCTGGATCCCTGCAAAGTAATAGAACGAAGTAAGCGTATTCATTTCCTACGGCTATTCTAACAAATTACCACAAACTTGGTGATTTAAAACAACAGAAGTTTATTGTCTCACAGTTCTGAAGGCCACAAACCTCTGCCTCTAAATGCCCTAGGGGAGACAGCGCCCTTATTCTTCTAGCTTCTGGTGGATCTAGTCATTGCTTAATTCCAATCATTGCATCTGTTGTCACATGACCTTCCTCACCTTTCTTTGTTTCTTTCATCTGTATCTCTCTTGTGAGGACATTTATCATTGGATTTAGGACCCTCTTGGGTAATTCTTATCCCAGATATCATCCTAAGATTCTTAATCACATCATTATTTAAAAAAAAAAAAAAAAAAAAAAAACCCTGCTACCTGTAGCACTTATAATTTTAAAGAGTCCAGTAAAATGGTAGCAGAGTGACAATTCTGGGGGACTCATCTCCATATATGCATAACTAAAATGCAATAAAGTGAAATCAGCTCCCCCCTGCAAAAAGAAATAAACAAACAAAAAAGAAACCATGCAACAAGAGCAATGGCCCAGAAGGTAGAAAAAACTGTAATTGAACTTGTTTGCAGTGACGGCAGTACAACTCAGTGGGAAGGAGCCCCCCCTTAGAGTTGTTGACGCAGGGGCACATATCCACATCTGGGACTTTGGAGACCCAGCACTATACTAGATGAGGGGTATAGAGAATTTGCATACAGGATAGAGGGTGCACTGTAGGAATAGGGGTGCAGAGTGATAATTACTTGAGCCTGAGGCTCCCAATATAGAACAGTTGGAGCCAGCATGAACCACTTAGGAATCCTCATAGTATAGGCTATTATTTCCTGCCTGAGGCTGTGATATTCTAAATAACTGCCTTACAGCCACCCAAGCCAAAATCAAGACAACAGCTGAATGCTGTTTAAGCACCTGGATCTTAACAACAGGAGCAAGCACCACAGGGTAAGTCTTTGTACTGAAAGCAAAGAGAACAGCTCCTGTCTTGTTTCCTTTCTCAACTACAATTCACACCCATTGCTGCAGCTAGTACTCCCATAGCCTAGAGGTTGAGGCTGGCACAAGGCTATATGAGTTATTTAGTGCAAGGAGTTGTCTGGGGGAAAGAATCCTTGTGGATCCCCATCACCAACAACTCTGATGCCCAAAGCGTAGTAGAAAGCTTAAATCCTTGTTGCTCACTGGAGGCTGTCCCTCAGGTGCTCTATTGCCCAAGTTCCTTTTGTGTCTTACCCCCTTGCCGGTGCCAGTTCTCTGGCCTTCTCAATAGGTGCAAAGACAGAAGTCTGAAAGTTTATCCCTATTACAACCCAACAAAACTATGAAGAGACAGAAAATGTATCACAAATGCTGAAGAAAAAATTAAAAGCCCATGAGAACTCTTAATTTAGCAGAATATGCTTGAAGAGGGATGTAAGGTAACAGTTATAACAGTGCTTGCTGAATTAAAAAAAAATGATGTAAACTAGGAACAGAATAAAGACTGAGAAAATACAAGCCTGTTACAACTAGAACTAATGAATCTAAACTAATCCTAACTGAATTAAAATATATATATATATATATATATAAAATAGGGGGCCTCAACAGTAGACAAACACAAGAAATGGAGAGAATTAGTGAACTTGAAAGTGCAATGTCAACGAATACACAAGTAGAGCAACAAAGAGAAAAAAGAATTTTAAAAAATGAAAATAGTACAGGAACATTTTGGAATAACCTAAAGAAAAATGACATATCATGGGGGTCCCAGAGGATCTGTGAAAGAAAATTTATTTATATAAATACTTGGCTGAAGACCACTCAACCTGAGAAACAAACCATATGACCCAAGAGATCCAAAGAGTTCCAAACAAAATGATACAAGACAGATATACTCCATGATGCTTTATAATAAAACTCCTGAATATTAAAAACATTGAAGAAAAAAAAGTAACCTATAAGGAAACACCAGTTAAACTGTCCACTGTTTTTTGGGTTTTTTTTTTTTTTGGTAGAAACTGGATAGGCAAAAAGAGAATGGCAGGAGAGTGGAAATGGAATCTAAATGAAACATAAAATGAAGATGGGAAAAAAAGACAATGACAAACTTAAAAAGTCTCAATAATCACTTTAAATACAAAAGTTCTAAATTCACCAGTTAACAGGTATAGTGTGGCTGAATGGATTTCAAAACAAATTGAACCTTCTGCTGTTTACAGGAAACACATCTTACCAACAATTCTACAAGCAAATGGCAATCAAAAAAAAGTCAAAAACAACTATATGTATATCAGATAAAATAGATTTCCAATTTAAAAAGGTTGTAAAAATATTAACTACAACAAATTAATATGGAGGGATTTTATTACTCCACTTGTGGACAGATCACCAAGAGAATAAATAAGAAACAGTAGCCTTAAAAAGAGATACTAGACCAAATAGCTCCGTACACATTTTTTTTCAAGTCCCCGTGGAAGATTTTCAAAAATACACCATATGTTGGGACACAAGTCAGTTAGCAGTAAAACTACAAAATCAGAGTCAAATGATACACTCTTTCTGACCATGGTAGAATAAACTGGAAATCAACTATTAAAAAATGAAACAAGAGGACCTCCCCGGTGGCGCAGCAGTTGAGTGCTGGGTTGTGAAGCTGCCCGCAGCCTCTGCAGCGCCGGTTTGATCCCCG